CCCCTCTGTTGCCCACACCGTCTCTTTGCCATTTATGGCACAGCAGCCCTGCAGGCAGTGTTGGTCGGTGGCGTGCGTGTGTTGTTCCGTAGTAGCGATGCGTGAGTTGGTTGGATCACAACGGATGCATCCTGCCAAGGCCGGTCATGTCGAGCTCCGGTTCTCTCTCTGCTCTCCCCGCCATGGCCGACTATGCCACGCGAGTTAATACGGCTGGGAGGAGTCATTTTAGGTCATGACGTCGTGTCTCTGGCGCCGCCATCAAGTCCTCTAGTCGACCATCCCCACCCCACCTTGAATGGCGCCTGGCCGAGCTCCAATTTTGGAGTTTTGCCCCTGCCACAACGCCATTAAGACTCGGTCCGCCACCATCATGGGCAGCCACCAGCTCACCACCTCAAGCCAAATTGGCTGCACCACCCGACCCACCTTACACCTCTTCTCGCTATGCGCACCTAAGCAGTACCCCTATGGCTACAAGGCTTGCTTGGGGCATCTCCGATCAAGCCACCGCCATGGATAGGTGCGTGGTGAGTCGCTGATGCTCACCCACTATTTCTCTCACCTCTTTTATGCCAAGGCTAACTAAAAAGTGGTTGCCACTACCGTAGGGTGCCCGCCGTCATGGAGAGGACATCCTACTGCGTCTCGACTTGTCCCACCGCTGCCCGGAATTGCGCGTCAGCCCATAGATAAGGGTCAACCCCCTAGCTAGGTCTACAAGGGTCCTAGTTGGCTAGTGTAGCGGCTTAGTGCCGGCCAGTGTCGCGCCAACGAGCGTGGAGGCGTCGGGGACCTCTCCGATGCGAAGACGAGAGAATACGAGGGCTTCCTTGCAAAATCGCCGTCTATAGGAATAGTACGCATAGTGCTCGCGCTAATGCCTGGTAATGTGAGGGCATTTTTGCAAGAGTGCCAATGCGCGCGGACTGCCCCCATCATGGGCCGGCTCACGTGGGCCGCGTCCACACAGTGGGCCACGCTAGGCTCGTCGCCTTTTCTTTTTAAGCGAATTAGTTAAATGGTTTTCTAATTACATTTTTGAGCTGATCTTTGGTAAATCATATAAAATCATGTAGGTGTCCAAAATTTGTGGAACCAATTTTGTTAGGTTCCTAAAATCATGACCTATCTGCTAATGTATTTTGTTCACTTAGTTTCATAGAATTTTCAAGAGTAGACTAATTGATTTGAAGCTCTTAAAATGGGAAAAACATGAACTTGTAGGAATTATTGTGATGAATTGGTAGTAGTACTGGTCCTATAATTTTTATAGTAGATTCCTAACAGTATTAGCTGCTCACTGTAATTTTTGTGGCTCCATAGGAATTAGTTTGATAAGGTAACTAAATGAGCCCTAGTACGTCAATATATATTTAATCAATCAAATGTCAAGAACTAGTTGGGGGTTTGTAGAATGAAAACATTTTTCAAAAATGAGCCTCACTGGACCATGTGGATACATGGCTTAGTATGTTAGTCAATAGAGCTAGCTCGTTACTTTGCGAGACATAATCGTATTTTAGAGTTGCTGATGACGTTGATTATTTACGTCCCTACGTTGCATCCACGTATTTCATGATATGAGCGATGTTGGATCGTGGAGAATCATCGGGAGTAGCGAAAGCAGATGGTGACTTGATGATCATGCCACCAAGATCAAAACTAACTTGGTTACATCTTACCCAGGCAAGCCCCGGTGCATAACCCCTATTATTCTGCACTTTAATTTTATGCTTGTGCATTAAGTTTAAGGAGTTGAATGAAACCCACTCGCATATATGTATCCTTATCATATGAGTGTTACTAGTATGATAGGATCGTGTAGATTGCTATGCTATAGGATCCGGTAGAAGTCGAGTGATTACCTATCACTCACGAGAGATAGAAAGATATTATTATTGTTATTATATTACTATCACATGGAATATATATATGAATGATAATTGGAGACCGAGCGGAATGATACTTTGGATTTGGACTTGGTTAGGCATTCGAGCGAGGCTCGGATTGCACTTGTTCCGCCTGTGTCAATTGAGGACCATCCATTGCTGTGGATTCTAGTCATGTTACAGACTTATTATCCTAAGCACATACTTGCTTATGGGAGCGAGAAGGCTCATTGCTCTTTTGTCGTGGGTTCTGCTCTTTCCGGACCGACTGATTGGAGGAAAGGATGGTGGAGGTCTAAGCACCACACTGAGTCCGGGACTCACGTGTGGGGGCTTGTAGTCCAAGTTTAGACGGGGACATGGATCCCTTGATAGGAGAGTGGTGGATTGGTCCTGCTTGTGCCTGGGGTACAAGCGGGGCGTGTGTTTAGATACCCAGCTAGGATACATTGGTTCACGAATCACCGTGTAATACGGTACGACTTGGCTATGATCTAGCACCGTAGTAAGAACTGGAATATGAAAGATGATAAAATGGTTCTAATTGCTTACCACCTGCTTGAAAGTAGCACAGGTGCTTACATAGAATGGTTACTTAATGAACTAATGATGACTGCTAATGAAATTGAATATAAGGATGCACGTTTAGTAATGCTTCCTGCAGATGCAATAACCCATAAGCCAGATAGCCTTGCATATCCTTGGAGTCTTTCCTTTTCTCCTGACGGGTAAGCCTTACGAAGTACAATTGAGTACTCAGGGTTTGTTCTATCCTGTTGCAGGTGACAAGAACATGTGGAGCTGACACTTGTGTGTGGAAACCTCCTAGTGGGCTCTGCGAGAGATTTCCTTAACGTTATGGACATAGAGCTTATTTGAAACGTCCACCCAAAATATTTTATAATGGAAAAACTTGTAACATGTTATGATGTATATAATGGATCATCATGTTAATGTTTGACTTGTCATTAAATGATTTTATTTTCGCTGAAACTCTGATAACATGGTTATATTCCACTGTTATAAATAATAAATATTATACTCTAATGTTGCATGGAAAGTGATGTAAGAAATGGCTAAAATATTGTAAGCTTTATTCTTCCATTTATGATCCTGTTGAAAAATGTGTATTTTCGGGTTCTCTCATGGGGTGTGCTCGACAGAGCTGCTTAATGTAGCTCAACTTTGAGGTGCTTAGTGTCTATTGGAAGATAAGCACCTCCGTAAGTGTGTTATTTCAGGCGGTTCTACCACAGATGGTATCGGAGCATAAATGAGGAAATAAAGCTTTGAAACCCTTTTCTAAATTAAAAAAAATTGATAACCTATTTTTACAAATGTTAGGGCGTTTGCATACGAAGTATATAAATAGACTTATTACTATAGTTCAGAATCCGGAATAGGTTTAACTAGGCTTTCTCCGATGGACTGGCTCTCGTGTAGTATACGATCTTTAAGACAGGCACGCTAGTAATGCCTTAGTCACCGTATTGCTGGTAGATGCGCCTTTCATAGCTATCACGCGAGTCGTATGGTGCATGACTGACCGGCCCTTGTTTGGTAGTTATTACTGCACTGGGACTTCGTGCTCCGTGTTCGCCTAGGGTTCACACTTGTCGTGACCCACGTCTTCCCGTACTCTTTTCTACGCTCTTCTCGGACCCCTGCCCTGCAGTCGTACTAGTCATTAATGACCTCGTACATCGCTCGCCTCGAACGCGCAAAAAAATCGATCGATTCATTTGTAGCGATCCCGCGCAGGAACCTTGGTGGATCGTGCCAGGACCATTGACCGCTCTGTCATTATAAGCAGGGCCTGGCCTAGCCTTGGTACCACCACCCAGTGCACTCCAACTCGCCTAGCTTTTCCTTTTGACCAAGCTTTTCTCTCAATCCTTCCTTGCAACCACTGTCAGGGATGGCAGGAGCCTGGGTTAGCAGTTACTGCTTGAACACTGAGGGTTTTCCCAAAATCCTATATGTCACCCTGCAAAAGCTTAGAGTCAAAGATCGTCCCGAGTATGAGGGCCGTGAGTATGAAAAGCATGGCACTGAGCGGTGTGAAGTTGCCATCTATATTGGGAAGAGTGAGGAGTTCCTTGGCATCACTGAAGCATGAATGTGACCACAACCGGGTTTTGCTTCATCGACACCTACCAAGTTGTGGCCCGCAAATCCTTGCGGTGCTTTTGCTAGATCTATGAAGAGCCCATTGCTCGTACCTCCATGAGGTTCTTTCCACTTTTGGAAAAGAATCGACGGGCATGGAGGGCTCGCATGGAGGCTTTGCAAGGGCGGGATGCGCAAGAAGACAGTCCAACCATGGTGAACTTGACCACGTACCTGCTTGCTCTGGATGAGCAGTATGACCGGCAAGCCTCGAAACTGAGGAAGTGCCTCCGGCGAGCCGAGGAAGCCGAGATCTTCTCCAGGATGCTCCAGGTGCAGCTTGCTAAAGAGGGGTCGGGCGCGCACCTGGAGTGATACTCGTCGCGGTTGAAGAGCAGAAGTAGGCGGTGCGTCGGGTGGCACTGCCACGCCCATGCCATGATGCACATAGCGGACCAGCAGTCAGGGCGGTGGAAAAGTCCGAAGAGGATTGAAATATTGTCGGAGCTCTTATGCGCACTGTGGAGGTGGCGCCCGCCGGTGGTTGAGAAGACCGAGGGCAGCAACGGCGACGCCGCGATGGCTAGCTACTGTATTTGCAGAAAGGTCCCTGAAAAAAGTTCATAATTTCGAATATATTGTTGCCGACTAGATCACGATGTATATTACTGATAGAGTTTGGTAGGTGAACTTGTGTTCGTCGGATCAGCCAGAGATGGATCCGCCGCCGTCACCACCGGCACTGCCGCACGGTTCAGAGAATATCAAATACAAGTCAAGTTTGCCTTCTCCCGGCTGCCTCTCTCTTATCATGCTTACATGGGCCGCCTTGCCCGTATACAGCCACGCAGGGCCCATCACCTTAGGATTCGACCTGCTGGCCCATTTAGCCTTCAACTTCTGGTTGTCATCAGTCTTCGCGCTCAGATCGCCATCATCTTCAGTAGCAGGCCTATTGGTACTGGTGACATTCTTCCTCCCTTGAAAGACGGCTTGACCCTAAGCCGACGCACGGGGACACTCCTGGCAAAGCGCGTCTTCATCTTCCCAAGTCGACAACTCCAATGGTGTACGGGACCAGCGTACCAACACTTGATGAGGTTGAGTCTTGTTGCCGTGAAGATGTAGATGGTGATCATGGATTTCTAGAGGTACCTGAAGACTGTCAGAGGAAGATGGTAATTCAGGACATACCAAGTGTGAAGAAGAGGGTACAACTTTCTTCAACTGGGATACATCAAAAGTTGGATGAATCCTGGAGCCAGCAGATAATTGCAGAGTATATGCAACAGAACCAATCTTGGACAGGATCTGGTAAGGCCCAAAATAACGGAAGGACAACTTGTTGGAAGATCTCAGAGCCACAGAAGATTGGACATAAGGTTGTAACTTTAGATAAACATAGTCACCGACTGCAAAATTTCTATCAGAGCGGTGCTTGTCTGCTTGAATTTTCATCTTCTTATGAGCTCGCAATAGGTGCTGATGCAGGAGCTGCTGCATAAGAGATCTATCCTGAAGCCACTGATCCAGATCTTCTATTTCACAATTTTCAACATCAATACTAAGCTAAGCTGTCGTGGTTCTTGGCCATAGAGAACATAGAGTGGTGTCTTGTTCAATGATGAATGAAAAGATGTGTTGTACCAAAATTCGGCCAAAGCCAACCACTAGGGACCATTTAGTTGGATAGGCATGAGCAAAGCATCTTAAATATGTTTCTAAGCATTGGTTCACACACTTGGTCTGTCCATCCATTTGAGGATGGTAGGCAAAGCTCATGCGAAGTTCAGTACCAGTAATCTTGAACAGAGTTTGCCATAAGTTGCTAGTGAAAACCTTATCTCTATCTAATATAATAGCTTGAGGTAGGCCATGTAATTTGAAAACTGAGCCCATATAGTGAAGGGCTACTTGCATGGCAGTAAAAGGATGAGATAGAGGTATAAAGTGTGCATACTTGGAGAATTTGTCGACTACTACCAAGATGCAATTGAAGGTTTTGGACTTGGGTAATCCTTCGATGAAATCCAGAGAAACCACTTGCCATGCTGCATCAGGTACTGGTAGTGGTGAAAGCAGTCTAGGATAAGGAGTTCTCTCTAGTTTAGCCTGTTGACAGATGGAGCAATGAGACACATAATCAGCAATGTATTGTTTCATCTTGGGCCAAGCGAAAAGCTTCTTGATTATGTGGTAAGTGGCCTCGATGCCAGAATGGCCACCCAACGAGCTAGCATGCAAAGCTGTCATGATCTGATGATGTAGAGCACTGAGGGAACCCAACCAAAGTCTATTCTTGGAGATATGTTGTTTGCAAGTCAGTGAGCCACAGAGATTGCATGACTAAAGTTGCAACCAATTCGGCTGTGTCTTGGTGGGTTGCACGTGATAATGCATCGACAACAGCATTCTCAAAACCTTTCTTGTACATAATTCTGAAATTCAAGCCCATCAATTTTGTTAATGCCTTGTGCTGCCAAGGTGAAGTCAAACGCTGAGCATCTAAGTGGAGTAAGCCTTTATGATCTGTCTTGATGAAAAACTCAGAATGTTGGAGATAAGATCACCAATGATCCACTGATATCATAATGGCCAGGCATTCCTTGTCATATGTGGAGAGGCTCTGAGATTTTAAGCTAAGTGCCTTACTGACATAGGTTAGAGGATGCCCATCTTGTTGAAGAACTACTCCCACACCTCTGTTAGATGCATCAGTTTCAATGATGAAGGGTTTGGTGAAATCAAGGAGTTGCAGCACAGGGGTGGAGACAAGTGCCTGTTTTAGTGCTTCAAAGGCAGCTTGTGTTTTAGATGTCCAAGTGAATAGAACACCCTTCTTGAGCAAATTGGTGAGGGGTTTGCTGAGAAGACCAAACTGCCTAACAAACTTTCTGTAGCATCCAGCCATACCCAAAAAGCTCCTGAGGTCTTTGATAGTAGTTGGTGGGGGTCAATTCTGAATAATAGCTACTTTAGTTGGATCTGTGGCAACACCAGAAGCACTAATAACATGACCTAGATATTTCAATTCTTGTTGAGCAGAGGTACACTTCTTGAATTTCACTTGGAATTTATGTTGTCTTAAGGCCTCAAAGACTTGTCTTAGGTGTTGCAAATGATCAGACCAATTGGAGCTATAGATGAGGATATCATCAATAAAGACAACCACAAACACCCTGAGGAATGGAGCAAGAGCATAATTCATTACTGATTGAAAAGTAGTTGGTCCACCAGTGACACCATATGTCATGAATTGGTACTCATAGTGACCATTATGGATCTGAAATGCTGTTTTATATTCCTCTCCAGGTGCCAATCTAATTTGGTGGAAGCCAGAACTGAGATCAAGAGATGTGAACCAAGATGCTCCTCCCAATTCATCTAATATCTCATCAATGACAAGCAATGGATATTTATTTTTGACAATATAAGCATTTAGCTTCCTGAAGTCCACACACAATATCCAGTCTCCAGTTTTCTTCTTGACCAGAAGAGCAGGTGATGAGAAAGGACTAGTGCTTGATTGTATGAAACCTTTTTGCAATAGCTCCTTGATTTGATTTTCAATCTCTGTCTTCTGTGCTAGGTTGTATCGATAGGGTCTGATCTTGAATGGTTGAGTACCAGGAAGTAGAGGAATAGTATGATCCCTAGGTCGACTTGGAGGTAGTCCAGACAAAGGCTCAAAAACATCAGCAAATTCAATGATTATCTCCTGAATTTGGGGAGATAGTGTAGGTGCAGTTGCTGCTTGATCTTGAACTGAATGTAGTTGCACTTGATACAAGATTGAGTCCTCTTTGATCAGAGCAGCTAACTGAGCATTTGTGATTGGTGTCCCCATTGTTGCTGAAGGACTGATGCCCTTGAGGGTGATCAATTGATTGTTCTATGAAAATTGCAGCCACTTATCCTACCAATGAACTTGCATAGGGCTATGCTGTTGTAGCCAGTCCATGCCCAAAATGATATCATAACTGCTGAGTGGAATTATCTTGAATGTAGTACTGAAAGTGTGCCCACAGATTCCCCAAACTTGGTGTTTCACCTGATGAGTGCAATGCATGATACTGCCATTGGCAACTCGGACCTGGATTGGTTGTTTGAGAGCTGTCCATCCAGGAATAGCAGAAGCTAATTGCTCACTGACGAAGGAATTAGTGCTTCCAGAATCAACTAGCATATAAGCTTGATGAGCAGCTATATAACCTTGGAGCCTGATAGTCCTACTTGATTCAGTGCCTTTTACCGCTTGAACAGAAATGTGCATCAAATCATCTCCCGAATTAGTATCAACAGGTGGACAGTCGACTGAGCAATCAGAGTTATCATCAAACAATTTCCAAATCTCTTCAACTGCATTCAGAGGTATAGTCTTGGGGCACTTGTGACCGGGTCCCCACTTCTCACCACATTTGAAGCATAAGCCTTTGGCACGGCGAAAAGACTTGAGGTCGGCCATAGCTTCAGTGGGTGACTTGGAAGAAGATCCTTTAGGTGGTCTGGTGTTAGCTCGATTTGAAGTACTCTTGGTATAAGGTGGAGACAGCGGCATAGAAGACCGGCCACCATCAATCGACACATTCTTGCCATAAGAGATATCAGGACGATGGAAGTCCCGTTTGCTTGTGCCCGCCAATACCTCCTCCTGCAATAACGCCATAGAACTAGCAGTATCGATGTCTTGGGGGCGTTGAACCAAAACAACAGCCTTTATCATCACGTAAACCATCTATGAATCGATTGGTGATAAAGGAAGGATCTAAGTGAGGATTATGAGCAAGTAACTGATGGACTGTATCACTAAAGGCTTCAATATACTCAGTAACAGTACTAGTTTGCTTAAGGTGGAAAATTTGCGCTGTAAGTGATTGTGCTCATCCCGATCGAACTTACTGCAGATGGTAGAACAGAGATCCTTCCATGAATGATTACAAGCAAAACCAGGGACAGTCTGAACCCAAAGGGAAGCAGACCCAGAGAAGTTCATGGTGGGTAACTTGACCCAAAGGTTCTCAGGTACAGAATATACATCAAAAAATGTCTCAGAATTCCTACCATCAAATTTGGGGAAATTGAACGAAGGTATGGCAGAATTCCAATTCAGAGCTAAGCCACTAGGTGCATAACCAATTGATCCAAATTGCAGAGCATTGGGATCAAAGGAAATTAGCGCACCTATGATCGGGGCAGGGATTGGAGTAGTGGTATACACTACCCCAAATCTAGTACCCTAGTGATGATTTTCTTTGTCGTGGTCCTTAGACCTAGATGCTGCCTGCGGCGGGGTAGGCTCCAGATGGGCGGAGCCCGGCACCTTCAGGCTCGCGGAGGCAGAGAGGTCCCCCGGAGCGGTGGTCGGTGGAGGTTGGGCGATGGTGATGCAGCCCGACAGCATCACCATCGAGGAGTCCACCGATTGCGCTTGTGGTAGTAGAGTCCCCAGCGCCTGCTCCATGCGCTCATCGAGATCCATCACCGCGTGCTCCAGGTCAGTGACGCAGCTATCGACGATGGGCTTCCAACTGTTGATGTCAGTCCTCAAGGCCTGCATCTCCACCATGGAACTGCGTAGTTCCTCGATCCCCTTGGAGTTCTGACCGAGAAGCGCCAGGATCTGGCCGTACTGCTCCTCTGGTGTTGCCATGGCCATCTGACGGCGTGTGAGGTACGGATGTGATGCCAGGGTCAAAGCTCTGGTACCAAATTGTTACCGACTAGATCACGATGTATATTACTGATAGAGTTTGGTAGGTGAACTTGTGTTCGTCGGACCAGCCGGATCCGCCGCCGTCGCCGCTGGCACTGCTGCACGGTTCAGAGAATATCGAATACAAGTCGAGTTTTCCTTCTCCCGGCTGCTTCTCTTATCATGCTTACATGGGCCACCTTGCCCGTTTACAGCCACGCAGGGCCCATATGTAACATCCTCGTGTAACACTATAAATTATTTACTAAAATATGTCATGAGCATCATGTTTATGTGTTAATGTATATAATAGAGTGTGTAGATCAATTTCTATAACTTGAAATGATCAACAGAAATGCGAAACGAATATTGATTCGATAGTCATGTTATATCACTTAGGGTTTAATACTAATTTTTATTAAGCAAAAATGCTATAGAACATGTATGTGATACTTAAATAAAGTTTGAAGTACAAACTTTGTAGATGACAATGAAATACTTGCGGTCAAAAAATGATATTACTAACTAATATTTCCACTAGCTTAGTAATCGTAAATGGAAATCAAATTCAGCTAAAAAACTTAGAAATTTTCAAATCTGCCAACAGTTAGACACTACTATATTTAGCAATTTATTGTGAGAGATTGGGTTAAAGGGTGGTGTAGTGTTATAGCTCAATTTGGTAGTCTCATGTGCCATCTTGAGCATGGTAAAGACGGTTTAGGTTTATGAGCAACCGTTTGATCATGTTGAACGCTTTAAAATTCGTACGTGTCACTGTCTCGGGTTGGTTGGCGCCGGGTGCACGGTCACCGCACGGCCTTCTCACGCCACGCACATGGTCGTGTCCCGTGTGGTCCACCGTGCCACCGCGCTTGGTCGGTCGAGCCGCCTAGGCTTGGCCAAGGCCAGCCGCAGTGAGCCACTGGCCCTGCGCCCTGCTGCTCTGCCTCACGCTGCCGTCTTGGGTGCCGTCGCGGCCACGCTACGCTGCCGTCGCATCCGCACTGCCGATGCTCCTCATATCGTGACGCTGCCATCGCATCGTCGTCGCATCCGCACCTATCCGCTGCACCTCTGCGTTGTTGTCGCCCCTGTGCGTGTCGCCTCTGCCACACGCACGTGGGCGAGCCGTCGTCGCCATGCCATTTATGGCACTGTGGTACATGGGCCACGCCGATCGGACACACGCACACGTTGTCCGTAGCGCCAGCGTATGGGCCTCCCGAGCTCGCCACTCGCGTCCCGCCAAGGCAAGGACGAGTAGAGCCCACTAGCGCGTTCCATTTCTCTCATTCTCTCTTCTCTCTCTGCTTTCCGTCGCCGTCGAGTCGCGTCACGACGAGTCAGAGAGCGAGCACCTCTCATCAATTCCTCGTGCTCGCGTCTCCGCCTTCACGTCCCCTCTCCAGCCGACCCCACCCCGCCTTGATTGCGGCTCGGTCGAGCTCCAATTTTGGAGCTTTGCCGCCACCGTGCTGTAAAGGCCCGTCACCGCCCGCGTCGTGGCTAGCCTCCACCACTTCACCCCACGCCAATTCCTTGGCACCACTAGCTTGCCTTGGCTCTCTCTTCATCGTGCGTACGCTAGTCGCAGCTCTAGTGTCGCCTCCTCGCCCAAACACGGCCATGCCTTTGTGGTTCGTCGTTCACCTCACAGCGCGCACGTGGCCAGCCTCGCTCGGGTCGTCTCTGGCCGAGCCGGCTTCTTGGTAAGGTCACTAATGAGTTGTCGTTGCTCACCCTCTACCCCTACCGCCTTGTTGTTGCTGCGGCACACCCGAACACCATCACCTTTGCCGTAGGGTGCCCGTTGTCGTGGAGATGTCCTTCTACGACGTCCTAGCTCGTGCAACCGCCGCCTATCGTCTCACGTCGAACCCTAGGTGAGCATCGGTCTCGTAGATAGGTCAGCGTGGGTCCTGTGTGGCCGGCGTAAGTGCCACCGTTCGCCGTGCCCACGCGCGCGGGGATGGTCGAGGACCTTGCCGTTGTAAAGAGGAGAAAGTTCTGAGGGTTCCGTTGCAAAGTCATTGTCTGTAGAAATAGTACATGTAGTGTTCGCACTATTGTTTGATAACGTGAGGGCGTTTTTGCAAAAATGCCAGCGCGCGGGCTTCCTCGCCACGGGCCACCTCGCACTGCACGTCGGCCTCGCGTGGGCCACACCTGTGGGCCGCTGTACGCTCACGCGCGTGCTGCGTCATGTGTGGGCCGCGTTGGGCCGAAAATAGTTTAGCTTTTTCATGGAGAATAGAAATAGCTTTTCATTTTAATTCTGAGCTGAACTTTGGTAATTAATATAAAATTATGTAGGTATCTAAAAATTATGAAACCAATTTTGTTAGGTTCTTAAAATTGTGCTCTATCTGTTAGTGTATTTAGTTCATATATATACTTATCGATACTAGGAGCTATTAAATCATTTGAGAGTGCTTAATATTATTAGGTTAAATATTGTAGGAATTTTTGTGGCAAAATGGTGATAGCTTTAGCTTTGAAAATTTTACAGTGGCTTCATGGTATTATTATGTTCTCACTATAATTTTTGTAGCTTTAGAATAGACTAAACATAAGGGTAGTTAAATGCTCTTTATTTTAAATATATATTAAACCATTAGTAGGAATAAAGATATATCCTTCAATTGTAAAGCTAGGTGTTTGTTAGTTGAACCCAACACTTTGCTTGGTAATGATGATAGTTAGCTTACTGCCTTAGTTATTAGAGCTAGCTTAGTGACTTAGTACATGTATTCTTATTTTAAGAGTTGTTGTTGTCAAAATACTAAGTGTTGCATCATCATCGTATGCATGTAGAGAATGAGTTGATGGAGATCGTGACCATCGGAGATCACGAGTTCGAGGAGGTGATCGAGGAGTACGAGGAGAAGATCCTTGTTCAGTAGAAGGTCCCGAAGCCGTCACTGACTGACTGAGCTGACACCGCGCCTGCCCAAGGCAAGCCCCGGTGCATAACCCTTATTTTGAATAATCACTACATATATATATATGATGTGCATTTACGTTACAAGCTTATTGTTGAAACTACATGCATAGATATACCTACCTATGAGTCCTACTAGCTTAGATCAAGTAGCTGCTATGCTCAGGTTTATCGGTAGCATGAGTAACCTGTCGTTACTCACAATAGGTGATTATTATTATCACTCTCGTAATAAAATAATGAAAGAAAAATGGAGACCGGGTAGGGATATGGTATGGGTATTGGTGGATGTAATAGGTTGTGTCCCGTGGCCAACGAGGCATAGCTTGGTTACACTATTTTTCCTGTCCGTGTCGGTTAAGTACCGTCCGTTGCATTGGATTCTAGTCAGGTCACAGACTTATTATTCTGAGCACATACTTACTTATGGAAGCGAAAAGGCTCGTTGTTTTCTTGTCGTGGGTTTTCGGCTCTTTCCGGACCGACTGATTGAAGGTGAGGATGGTGGAGCTCTAAGCACCACACTGAGTCCAGGACTTAGGTGTGGGGGTTTGGAGTCCAAGTTTAGACGGGACTGGACCCCTTGATAGGAGAGTGGTGGGTTGATCCTGCTTGTGCATGGGGTACAAGCAGAACGTGTGTTTCGGGGTACCCAGCTGGAGCTACATTGGTACACGAATCGCCGTGTAATACGGTATGAGTTGTCTACGATTTAGCACCGTAGTAAGAACTAGAAGATGAAAGATGATAAAATGGATCTGATCGTTCAACTCTTGCTTGAAAGTAGAACAGATGCTTACATAGAATGGTTAGCTAGTGAACTAATCATGACTGCTAACAAAAACATATGTAAAGATTCACTATTAGTAATGCTTTACGTAAAAAGAAAACCTAGTAAACCATAAAGCTTATCATATTATTTAGAGTCGGAAAATTATTCCCACTAGTCGGGTAAGTCTTGCGAGTACATTGTGTGCTCAGAGTTTATTTACTCCTGTTGTAGGTGCAACTTGAGGAGTAGCTATTGTGTGGAGTATTCTTTTGGTGGGTATAGACGGATCCTTGTATTTTATCATTAGATGATTATTTTAATCCCGCCGTTTAAATTCCGCACTCTAAACTTAGTATTGTAATAATGCATTTCTAAGCACTCTTGTGGTATGAAATGGACTAAGTATTATAAACTCGTTCTCGTTATTGGATCCTGAAGAGAAAAACGTGAATTATTCGAGTTCTCTCTTAGAATGTGCTTAATGGAACCGTTCGATATAGCCAGCTTTTGAGGTGCCGAGTGTCTATAGAAAATGAGCGTCTCCGAAAATATACTATTTTAGACGGTTCAGTCACACAATCACACCATCGCCTTAGGATTTGGTCTCCTGACCCGTTTAGCCTTCAACGTCTGGTTGTCATCAGTCTTCGCGCCCAGATCGCCATCGTCTTCAGTAGCAGGCCTGTTAGCACTGGTGACATATATCTGTAGTTGTGGTGAATCAGCTGGGAACAGTGGTGACTATGACTATATCCTAGCCGGAAGAAGGAAAAGCGAAGTTGCGTAGGCAATGCGCCAGCGATGCTGCCGACATGGTACCGGATGCGTAATTGGATGTGTGCATCCACGGAGTACCTATCTGCCTCTAGGTCGACAGGCGACCTGGTTGTTCGTGGTCGGTCTGGAGCGGGCAAAGGGGCGCGCGCAAGCTGTTCGATAGAATGACGCATAGGGCGACCATGCTCGGAAATTCTCAGCTTCTGGCCGGCGCTCGAATTAGAAGGTACTACAGCTATATTGTTTTTTATAGTATTGAGTTAAAAGCTGATACTACAAAAGTAACTGCTCGAGACTGGTTCCATTAGGACTTGGGAGTTAGACAATGATGGTTTAGTGGAGGCTGAATACTGGTGGTGTTACACGATGTAAAATACTGAATAAATTCAAGGAAGCATTCAATTTGATGATTATACTGAACTGATGGGTCAGATTCCTCGCTCCTCTAATGCAAATGGAGCCAAT